ATGCTGAAGAAATGAAGAAAGAAAATGTGGGAAGCAGTCTAATCATGAATTGTTATTACAAATGTGAAAATGGGCTTAGAATTGAGGTCACAAATGAAAAGTATTTTCCTCTCAGTACTCTAAGCCTCAGTTTTTTATCTGTGCAACTGAGATAACAGTAACTACCTCATAAAATTATAAAGAATAAGAAAAATAACACAAATAAGGAATGAGAAAATCAACTTACTTCTTCTAGGCTACATAGGCAGAATAAAGTATTTACTTATCTCAATGCAAAAGTAAGTCGTATTTTTTATTACATAAACATAAGCCATAGCCAGGTGCTGGTGGCTCACACCTATAATCCTAGATACTCAGGGGGAAAACCTGGATGATCATGGCTCAAAGCCAACCCAGGTACAAAAGTCCATGAGATTCTATCTCAAATTAACTAGCAAAGAGCTTGACTTGTGGTGTGGCTCAAGTGGTAGAGCACCAGCCATGAGCAAATAAGCTATGCTAGCAAGGGGTCCCTAATTTTAAGCAGTAGTAAAAAGAAGAATAAATAAATAAATAAGGAAAAAGGGGGAGGGAAGGAAAGGGGAGGGAACTTAGGGGGACCAAGACATTGTCAGGTCTATAAATAAAAATTCTTACTACATCAAAAATAACTGAAGAGGCACAGCTTTTTCTTTGAGCATCTTCTTCTTTCCCACAAGATTCTTCATTGGACATCTTTAAAAGCTAGAACAAAAATTCCAAATACATTTTTATAACAATAAAATACATTAGGAACCATTCTTTTTTAGATATATAAAAATTAGTTTTAAAAAATGGTTTCCACATTCTATCTATTCTCAAGATGGTTAGATGCTCTCATTGTTCCACATTTTCTTACTTACATTCTCCTTCATAAAAATCTGTTCCTCTCCTTCAGTTTGATCAGTCAAGCTTGAGTTTCAAACTATGCCTTGACAAGGTTTTTTCTTTTTTGCTGTTTTTGTTTTCTTTTTGTTCTGCTGCTTGTTTATATGTATTTGAGGGTCTAAAGAGAGGCACAGAAATGGAGAGACAAAGGGTAAACAAATGCAGCAATGGTATTCAGTGGACACTATGTTGAAACTTATGGGTAGATATGGCAGGAAAAAACTGGAAGAGAGTAAAACGAAATGTACTCTTTACCTGACTTACGTAATTGTAAGCTCTCTGTATATCATCTTTATAATAATAATAATGTAAAAAATAATCTATGACTTGAAGCTATTACTTCTTCCTCCAGTGCCAGATTATTTTCAATTGCCTGCTGAAATGACATATTTTACAACATCTACACTTCAAAACCAATTAGTTATGAATTTTCATTTTTTCCAACACATTCTCTGTCATTTCTTTTTTTTTTTTTTTTTGGTCGGTCATGGGGCTTGAACTCTGGGCCTGGGCGCTGTCCCTCAGCTCTTCAGCTCAAGGCGAGTGCTCTACCACTTGAGCCACAGAGCCATTTCTGGTTTTCTGAGTGGTTTATTGAAGGCAAGAGTCTCACGGACTTTCCTGCCTGGGCTCGCTTTGAACTGTGATCCTCAGATCTCAGCCTCCTGAGTAGCTAGGATTACAGGGGTGAGCCACCAGCGCCCGGCTTCTCTGTCATTTCTTATGTGAACCTTCAGCAAACTGCAGGCAAACTACATATACAATTTTCTGAGCCCATTTCATTATACATAAAATAAAAAATTCATCTTAGAGGGTTTTTGAGAAAGTCAATTAAAACAATGGAGACAAAAACTATCTTGCCCAGGAGGTATATGATAGGTTCTATTAGAACCAGAGTTTCTTGAAAAGTGTGCTGTATTAAAAACTTGGGAAATGCCATTAGGTGATGACAAAATATATTTGAAGTTGCTCCTACAGCGCTATCATCATGCCTTCACAGGACAGTATCCCCGGCAGGTATCTTCATAGAAACCTCATGAAAAAATGCAAAGCCAAATTCACCTGAAAGTCATTTCTGAATTCCTGACCCAGAGAAACTATGGGATGAATAAGTGTTTATGATCCTGTTAAGCCAAACTTTTTGGATAACCTAGTAACTGACTGATGCACAATTGTACTTCCTTAATTCTTCAAACTTTGAAGATTCCCTTCATGCTCAGAAATTCTTAAATACATTTCCACAGAATCCATATACTAAAATTGAATGCTTTCATCTTTTGTTTTCCAGCTGGTATTAAATTATGAAGTTGACATTTTTTTGGGGGGGGTCCAGTCGTGGGCCTGAACTCTGGGCCTGGGCGCTGTCCCTCAGCTCATCAGCTCAAGGCTAGCACTCTACCACTTGAGCCACAGCGCCACTTGCGGCTTTTTTCTTTTTGCTTATGTGGTGCTGAGGAATCGAACCCAGGGCCTCATGCATGCAAGGCAAGTGCTCTACCACTGAGCCACCTTCCCAGCCTGAAGTTGACATATTTTGTCAAGCTTTCTAGAAACAAAAACAAACAAACAAGAACTGGGGATGTTGCTCAGTGGTAGAGGGCTCGCCTAGTATGTACAATACCCTGGCTTCCATTCCCAGCAGCACCCAAAAAAAGGAAAAAATAAATTACAGAACGCATCTAGAAATGTAAAAAAAGCGATTATTCTTAAAGGGTGCATTAAAATAGCCAGCATTTCTTTAGGCTGTAATTATATAGATTATATAACAGCGATACTTTACATTTAATTATTAAAATAAAGTTCAATATATGCCCAAGAATACTAGTTAATCAAAAGAGGGAAGGATTTAAAGGATTTTAGTTGTCTTGATTGGCTGGAAATGGAAACCAAGGCCTGAGTACTTAGGCAAGAGCTCCCCTGCGGAGCTACAGCCTCAGATTAAAAGGGCTTTAGAACCTTTATGAGGATAATCGGTCTTAAAAACAACAAAACAAGGACTACAACAACAAACAAACAACGGCTCCATTGGCTGGCTCCCTGTAATCCTTGCTACTCAAGAGGCCGAGATCAGAGAATTGCAGTATGAAGTCAGCCCCAACAGGCATATCCAAGAGACTATAATTTCCAATTAACCAATAAAAAGCGACCTTCAGCGGAAAAAGCTAAGGGACAGCCCCCAGGCCCTGAGTTCCAGCCCCCATACCAGAAAACAAAACAACCCTCCAAGCCTGGAACTGGTGGCTCACACCTGTAATCCTAGCTATTCAGCGGGCTTACATCTGAGGAGAGCGAGGTTCAAAGCCAGTCAGGACAGGAAAGCCTGAGACTCATCTCCAATAAACTACTCAGAAAAAGCCAGAAGTGGCGCTGTGAGCCAAAGAAGCTCAGGGACAGCACTCAGGCCCTGAGCTCAAGCCCCAGGGCCTCCCCCCGACCCCCCCCCCCCCCGTCGCCTCCCATCTCCCCCACCCCCAAACGAAAACAACAACAATAACAAACCATTCAAACTTCGAAACTAAGGGCAAAGAAAAAGGCCAAGTTCCAAATTAGCGGTTCCGACACACACCCACACCCACAGCCACACCCACACACACCAAAAGCAAAAAAAAAAACCCCAAAAAACAAAAAAAAAACCTTCCAGATAAGCTTCCAAACGAAGGAGAAAGGAAGAGGCCAACTTCCAGTTAGCGTTTCAAGGTGACAACTCAGGCTCTCTTCCATTTCTGAAAACCAGTAAGAATAACAACAGACCAGTAAGCAAGGTACACATCACCCTTAATAACTCAGAAAAAACATCTGGATGGATGTCTGGTACCAGAGACGAAAAAGCAGCTTCCCTCTCATTCCCTGCTGCCAAAACCCTTCAAACGAATCCCAGGCAGGGAAACTAGAAAACTCAAGTTCGTCCCTCTTCCCCCCCTCCCCGCTTCCCCCTCCCAACCCCCCCCCCCCCGTCCTAAAGAGAAAAGAAGGACTGACAAGGGTAAAGAGAAGACTGGGGAGCAGATCCACCAGCGATAAATCGTAGGAAACCTGAAACGCATCCACCAAGTGCCTTGAAGCTCTCAACAATCCCGGCTCTCGTCTCGGGCCTGTAAGGCCCATACCCACACCGGGCCCAAAGAACCCAATGCTCACAGGACCCGCGGCCGCAAGCAACACGACACAGGCGTTCGGGTCACAGGTGTGGGCTAAGGATGTGAAAGGAGGTGCGGTCCAACCCAGCTCGGAGTTGGCCGGACAGGTTTCGGCGGCTCGGCGTCCGGCGGGATTCACCCGCTTCCCAGAAACCCACCAGAGCCGGACACAGCGAGGGGGCAACGAGGAGGCAAGCTCGAACCTGCGACCCGCCCCGGGCCACACCCTTCAGTGAGCCAGACCCGCCCACAGCCTCGTCCCCCCCCCCCCCCTCGCCCAGGCCCCCGCAACTCCGGGACAACTTCCGCCGACTCGCGGCCCTTCAGAGTGTCTGGCTCAGGGGTGAGAGGCCCCGGGATGGAAGACCCCCCCCCCTAACCCAGCTAAAAGTCACCGCACCTCCAGTTTCCTACCTTACCGGCGCCTGCGGCGGTAGCGACTCCGGAGGCCCAGGCCAGGAGAAAGCCCCCCCACCCCGAGCCCGCTGCTCACTGGGAAATGTAGTTCTGGGCTCGGCTCCACACCAACGCCCCAACGCTCCGTAGCGTTCTTCCTCTGAGGACTGGAACTCGGCCCCGCCCACGGGGCGCGATGCTTCCTGGGTATTGTAGTTCTGAGGTTCGCTCTTGGGCCGGTGAAATGAGCGACGCAGCGTGCAAAAGAAACTCTCTCACCTGATTGGACGAGGTCTCCAACACGCTTCTGCGCAGAGTAAGGGGGCGTCGCAACGCCTGGGGAGAGGGAAGCGGTAGCGTTCTCGAATCGTTGCCTCCGGCTTTTCTGCTGACAGGATTTGTTAGCCGGTTCCTCTTTTCTGTGTGTTGTTGTGGTTTTGTGTGTGTGTGTGTGTGTGTGTGTGTGTGTGTGTGTGTGTGTGTGTTGCCCGCACCCCGCCCTCGCCTCATTTGTTTCCCCTCGGCTTGGATCCTGCCCAGTGGGCCGTGACGCCACTTGTATCCGCCCGCCGTGGGTCCCCCTCCCCACCCCCACCCCACCCCAGGTCCCCCGGCGCGGAGGCGGTAACTATGGAGAACATGGCGGAGGGGGAGCTGCTACCCCTGGAGAAGGAGGAGGGAGCTCAGGTCGGCGTCCCGACCTCGGCCCCGGCCTCGGCCCGGGTGTCAGATTCGGCTCCGGAACCGGCTCCGACTCCGGCCTCGGCTCCAGCCCCAGCCCTTGCCCGGGCCCAGACTCCGGCCCTGTCCCCGTCCCTAGCGTCTGCCCCCGAGGAGGCTGAAAGCAGTAAGTGCCGGAGCCCGCAGCGTCCCCCGCCGCAGGAGAGCCGGGGGAGTTGAGGGAGGGGGATCGCGGGGATCGGCGGGTCTGGGTTCGGAGCGGAGGGGGCCGGGGTAGCGGGCGAGGGGAATTAAAGGGCGCGGAGTGCCCGGAGGCACCTCCGGAAGCTTCGAGGTCAAGTCGGTGAACAGCACCCGGGGGGCCGGGGGGTGCTGTGGGCTCGAGTAAACGACCCGCTTCGGAGTCTTCTGGTTGTGGAGAATCATCTCATGCTCAGAAGTAGGTTCACGCAGTTATTGTGTGCTGGAGCCCGTCGCCAGCCCGCGCCGGCCGAGCCTCACCGGCCCTGGCGGGTTGGACGGCCCGAGGCGCCCCGGCTTGGAAACTGTCAACCAGCTTCTCAGCCTCCGTGTTTCCTTCTCCTTTCTAACTCGCTTCCCCCAGAGAATTCGAGACTTGAAAGTTGTTTGGGAGACAGCTCAGTGCCCTCCTCCCCGTCTCAACACCAAACGAGTATGTATTTATTCCATCCCCTCAGAAGCTGACGGTTGAGCATGAGTAGTCCGTGTTACTGTGCTCTGAATCCGCTTCATGTTTTCTGAGTGGTAGTTAGTTGATTGGATCGTTTGGGAACTTTAAAACCTGACGATTAACCACTTCTGTAAGGACCTTCTGAACGTCTTTAAATGGCAAGGAAGGTTTAGCGACTACTTTCACGAAATTGTTTCATGGTCCGTAAATTGATGTTTCTTCCTCCTACTGAATAACCACGTAGGGTATTTTAACCTATCGTGTCTGCTACGATGTGACCAATTTTAAATTTGGTGTTTTTAGACACTTGGATAGTTGTAGTCTAATAGAATTACCCTGCGATTTTAAAAGAACATTAACTGTTATAAGTAGATTTAAAACAAGTAGGTCTAATCGGAGCAAAGAAAAGTCACCATCTCAGGTAGACGTTTCATATACATGCATGGCTTGTACATGCAAAATAAGGCCTGTTTATTTCTTCACCTACAGTATGGTGGTGGATGGGGAGTTTTACAATGCAAAGTAGCCTACTGCTTTTCAGATTATGTCTATTTAAATTGGTCACAAGAGATTCAGGTGCTTTAGGGAGTGCATGCTTTCTCCACCTCCTCACCATTAAGAATGTGTTAAGCCAGATACCTGTACTACACACTGAGATTGAAGGAGGATATGCAGTTGGAGACAAGCCTGGACTTCAGAGAGAGACCCTGTCTCAAAAATAAAAATAAGGATTGGGAACATTTATGTATTCCAGGACTTATTATATAAAGATGTATATACTGTTTGAAAAACTTGGAAATGCATTACTAGGACAAATAATGATTGAGAAATCTGAAATGCGTTAGAATTAAGATATACATATTAATAATACTCTAAAAATTATTTTTAGATGATCTAGTTAGTCTTTTGAAGTCAATCATAACTAGGGAAGATGAAGATGGTGTATCTGAAATAGAACTGAAAGCTGAGGAAACAGTAACAGAAGAAGTTTTAAAAGAATCTCCTGACATCTTGGACTCACCTAATTTAACAAGAGGTTTGCCTGTTGACTTCTAGATACTTAGTGTTATGAAAAGCAGGTTGAGTGATTTTAAAATACAGATTGCTTGATACTACCTTTCTTTAATCAGAAAGTGATTTCAGAGATGTTTGATAGGTATAAATTTTGTAGACAAATCTTTGACAATTTTCTTCAAATGTGCTACAGTTTTCAGTTTTCTAGTTTTACAGGCTTTCACTTTTAATAATTTCAGCAAGTACAACTTTATGTCTTACTGTACATCTTGCTTCACAAACGTAAGTTTTTGAACTATGGAGCCAAAAATCTTTATGGATTCAAATATTATAGGTTGGTTTGTACACATAGGATTCTTGACTATTACTGACTTAGCAATTAAAAATATTTGATCAAACAGGAAATTTTTTTGTCATTTATGAAAATACCTCATTAAGTTGTTTGAACAATACCTTCTGGAAAATGAATTTAATCAATAATATTTCTTCATTTTTACCTGTTTTTAGTAAGAAAAGGTTATTCTGAGGAAGAATGTGTGATATTGAATTAGAGTCCAAAATGAAGCCACAAAGTCGAATCATTTTTTTATTAGTATGATTTAGCACCTGCTGTACACAAGAACATGAATAAAGCCAGGCACTGGTGGCTCACGCCTGTAATCCTAGCTACTCAGGAGGCTGAGATCTAAGGATCACAATTCAAAGCCAGCCCAGGCAGGAAAGTCTGTGAGACTCTTATCTCCAGTAAAACACCAGAAAACCAGAAGTGGCACTGTGGCTCAAGTGGTAGAGTGCTTGCCTTGAGCTGAAGAGCTAAGGGACAGCACCTAGGCCCAGAGTTCAAGCCCCACCATTGAAAAAAAAAAAATGAATAAAGAGTAGGTCGCTCTTTTTGTTGCATATTTGTGAGGAAGACCAATTATTCTAATGAGTGTACACATGAGCTGAGGAGATGGAGACTGGATGGTAACAATGTAAAAACCAAAGTTAATAGTCTTAAAAGAGTCTAATGAATATTAAAGAGCCCCAAGAGTGAATTCCATTTTCTCCTTCCACTTTGGGGAGCTTTACCTATCAGTTAGCATCTTATGCACTCACGTTCCCACTTTGTGAATGTTCCTTTGCTATGGATGCACATAAATTCAGATCTCCATCCTTAGAAAAAAGAGAATTACAATTTCATCCATCTCTTTAATTATCCGACTTCCTAAAAAAGTAACTATACTAATTTTCTGTATTTCATTTCCCTTTCTGATCTCATTTTTTCTCACAAACACCCCGCTGAACCTGCTTTTCTAAAGGTCACCAAGACATGCTGTATACTAAATCTCTTTAGACCTCTTGATCTGTACGGCTGTTTGTAGTAGTATTCAGCATTGAGCATGTCTCTTTTACAGACGCAACTGTTAAGTACCTACATCTTTCCATATTTCACTTCTAGAAATACCCATTTATATTTATCAGTAGTGGTTTTATCAGCTTTTGAGAGTGAATCCCCTCACACCTAGTCAAGAATATGTTAAAATATTTTAGAAGACATTTCAAAATTTTATAAGGTATATAATTTGAAGACTCATTTTTCAAAAACTGGAGTCCATAACTGGGAAAAATATGATTCAAAAATATGAAATGTGGGGCTGGGAATGTGGCTTAGTGGTAGAGTGCTTGCCTCGCATGCATGAAGCCCTGAGTTTGATTCCTCAGTACCACATTCACAGAAAAAGCCAGAAGTGGTGTTGTGGCTCAGGTGGTAGAATGCTAGCGAGCCAAAGAAGCTAAGGGACAATGCCCAGGCCCAGAGATTAAGCCCCAGGACTGGCAAAAAGTAAAAAATAAAAAAAGGTGTCACTAATTTAAAGATAATAAAATTATAGTTATCCAGTCATAACTGGGTAAGCTGAGTTTATTTCACAGCTTTTTTTTCTTCTTTTTTTGTGCAGTGGTACTCAGGGGCCTCAAGCAAGTGCTTGATAGGTTGTTCTCAGTTTTACCTAATATGCATTTTTCTGATTGGTATCTCCCTCCTGAGTGCCAGAAACAAATTTTCAGCAGCCTTCTGAAATTTGTGTCCATCTATGGTATATAAAACACATTATCAGAAAACACTTTTTCTGTTCCTTTCTACCAAAAGGGATTACTCTTACTTCTTTTGTTAATGAAATTGACACCATCTTCCTCAACCATATAAACTCAAAAATCTTAGAATTACCTTTATTATGCAAAACTTCATCCCCCCTGATTTCTCACATCCCAGCTTCCGTTCTTCTTTCTACTCTCTCTCACCTTTCTATTACTATTACTCATTTTCTCACCTCTTGGATCCACTTTGTCAAAAATTCCAAATGTTTCAAGAATAAAATCCAAACTAACTTACATAGAATTTCTTCCTCCCATGATGTAGATTTTTTTTCTTGAATATATCTACCCACTACTTTTTTATTTTTTGTTTTTTTTGGGGGGTCTGGTCGTGTGGCCTGAACTCTGGGCCTGGGCACTATCCCTCAGCTCTTCAGCTCAAGGCTAGCGCTCTACCACCTTGAGCCACAGCGCCACTTCCAGCTTTTTTTCTTTTTGCTTATGTGGTGCTGAGGAATCAAACCCAGGGCCTCAGGCATGCAAGGCAAGCGCTCTACCACTGAGCCACCTTCCCAGCCCCCCACTACTTTTTTAAAACATTTCCATTCTAGCCAAAGGTAGGGTAGTGGAAGCTATATGTTTTGGGGTTGTTGTTGTTGTTGTTGCTGTGTTTGGGTTTTTTTGTTGTTGTTCTGCTGGTCCTGGGGCTTGAACTCAGCCCCTGGCTGCTATCACTGAGATTTTTTTTGCTCAAAGCTAGTTCTCTACCACTTGAGCCAGAGCTCCACCTTGGGTTTGTTGTTGTTGTTTTTGCTTTTTGGTTTTGTTGGTTGGAGATAAGAATCTCATAGACTTTCCTGCCCATCCTGGCTTAGATCCTCAGGTCTTAACTTCCTGAATAGCTAGGACTACAGGTTTAAGCCACCAGGGCTGGCTGTTAGCTGTTTGTTTTATAACACATACATTTTATTCATAAGGCTCCTTTAATTTATGAATCGTCCTACTAGGTCTCCAATTAATTGAAAATCTGCTCAGTACCTTAAGTAATAAGTGCCACTCAGTAACTTGTTAGAATTAGTCATTCCATGCATGACAAATCTTTGTCACTCCATTCTACCTACCATTGCACTTAGAAATTAACATACTAATCTTTCCCATGTGGTTGAAAGTTCTTTGAAGACAAAAAAATGGCTTATAGTTCTTCAGCACTTCATAAAAGATAAAAATAATTTTTGTATAATTACAGTAACTATAGATTAAAATTTAAATCTGTGAATTTATACTGTGGATTTTTTTCTCCAACTTTTTTCTATTGTGAAACACATTTGTCATTTTGTAAAACGAATGTTGGTATTTATTTACCATTAGATTCTAGGACACTATATTACAGAAGATAAGTGTATAAATTTGTATATTATATGATCAAATAAAATGGAATTAGAAAACAAAATTTTTTAAATAAGTTTTTTATTGTGAGAATACTGTACAGAGGAGGAGTTACAGTTACAGGAGCAAGGTAATGAGTACATTTCCTATCAAGCATTGTTGTCTCCTCCTTTGTTTTTCCCCTACCATCCCTTCCCTCCCATTAGAAAACAAATTGTTAAAATGTGATTTTCTAACTCTTTAAATTTCCTTTCAGAGAAACACATCTCAATTCAAAGGCAGCTTGCTGATCTAGAGAAGCTAGCTTTTGTAACTGAAGGAGACTTTGATTCTACCAGTTCATTGAACTCAGATAATCTTGATGCAGGTAATTCCATTTGGGGAATTTTTTCCCTCTGAGTTGTTACCTTTCAGCTCATGAAAACAGTTTGCTTAGAATAGGTTGTTTTCACCAGGAGCCTGTAATTCTAGCTACTCAGGAGGCTGAGATCTGAGGATCGAGGTTCAAAGCCAAGGTTTATCTCCAGTAAACCACCAGAAAACTAGAAGTGGTGCTATGGCTTAAGTGGCAGAGCGCTCACCTTGAGCTGAAGAGCTCAGGGATGGTGCCCAGGCCCAAAGTTCAAGCCCACAACTCCCCACTCCCCCACCCCCCGCAAAAAAGAAGGTTTCTTCTTATTGAACAAGAACAGAAGAACAGAAGTAAAATAATTTAATCCAGGAAAGTAATACGTTCTATTTGTAAAAGTCTTATACAATAATTTCTTTTTACCTCATCAAGGAAATTACAATCTCGTGTATATTTAAGGCCTGTGTATTCTGTAAGGCAAGAAATTGTATTATCTACAAGTTACAGAGATTCTCCAAACAGCACTTTAAATAATATGGATGTTAAAATTATTTTATGTAAAAGAAATCTCATGCAAGATAATTTAAGGTCATTGGTGCAAGATTTCTTGATGTATATGAAAGATACTTGTTGAGTTAAAATGATCAAGTGAATTACTGATAATTTCTCTATATTTCATTGCTTTAAACATAAATTTGATATCTTGATGCTTACACAAATTAGAATTTGGGATTTGAATTCTTTGAAGGACATTACATTTATAATTAAGACAAGGTTTGATGATCCATAATCTTGTCAGGAATGTGCTGTAATGAATAAGGACAAAGTTATAAATCTGATAATATAGTTATATTCAGGTTCCCAACCATGTGTTATGCCTCAGAATAGCAATTACATTGGTAATTATTTCTGTCTTCTGTTATTGTAACATTGTGTGTTAATTGTCTTTGCTGCTGCCAAAGTAATAGAGAAATAATACAGGATGCTTTTGTATCTCTTCCCAACCCTTATCCCACTCCATGAGTCTGATCAGGGCTGGCCTTTCTCCTATCCAAAATCCTATGGTGATCACTTTGACTCTAGGGAATATTACATAGATGATCATTTCCATGACTTCTCTGTACCAGTGGCAAAAGCATCAGCAAACCACAGAGAGGAGAGAGCTTTAAGGTACAAAGCTCAACTGCTGATGATGTGCAACCATGGTTATAAGCTGCTACTTCCTGGGTCTGGGAAAATGATTTTTCCTTAAAGAACATTTAACTAAGAATTAGGAGAGGAGCATGGAGAAGTCTGTTCTTTGTAGTTGAATCCAGTCATTAGTAACCTAGTATATGTTGTATTTTATTAGTTTTTTTTCTTTTTAAGGGAATAAACAAGCTTGTCCATTGTGCCCTAAGGAAAAATTCAGAGCTTGTAATAGTCATAAGCTTCGTCGTCACCTTCAGAATTTACACTGGAAAGTCTCAGTTGAATACGAAGGTTGGTATTTTTCTCCTTAGGATAAAATGATGTATATGATATTCAACATTTTTACCAGTTTTGAAGTCTTTCTGTAAATATAATCAAACAATTTTATAAATTATGAAGGATTTAATGTCTCATTTTAAATTTATTTAATAAAAGAGAGCATAAGCATACAGTGGGTATATGACACAAGTTTAGTGTAGTAACCATTGGTTAGACATCTTTATACTGGTTACTTTGGCCTTGGAAGTTCATTCTGCCAAATGAACAATGTCTTAATTTGTACTTTTCTTTCTGCAGAAGAATAGTACAACTACTATTGTAATCTTGAAGGCAAAGTAAATGTAATACAGAAAAATAAAATACTTGGTACAAATATCAGAAAAAGATATCTACTGATAGAAGTTAGAAAAATAAACCAATAATAATAATGACAGAAATGATATGTTTTGGGGAAATAAATTTAACAAGACGACTCATAAAAAGGGATGGTAATGGAAAAACAAAGGAGGGGGTAACAATGCTCAATAGGAAATTACTCATTACCTTACTCATGTAACTGTAACCCCTCTGTACAGTATCTTTACAATAAAAAAATACATTAAAAAAAAGAAAACTCATAAAGAAAAGAACAGAGCTGAAGAATCAAAACCAAGATATATCAAGTTAAAAGACTTCCTAGATCCTAAGATAGTATTATAGCATTTTTAAAAAAAATATCTGGCAATACCTTTTAAATTTTAAAAATAGATATATCTTTCCTGTGAGTGCCATAGAAGGCAAAGAATTAATAAACAAGAACGGATATGCAATGATAGATAATTACACCATATACTTCATGGCAAAACTTGGAGTTAAAAGGGATAGCTAACTAAATTATGCCATCTACATACCATGAAATGTAATATAGCCACTGGGAAGAGTATATTCTTTAAACAGTATATAGGGAAGGCCTTATAGCATTTTATTTGGATGAAACAAGTTCTCAAACACGAGCATGTGCGTGCGCACCTGTGTGTATGTGTCAGTGTCACAGACATATATGATCATGTGAAATAGAAATTATTGAACTTGTTTGCAATTTCAAACTAGCTAGTATGACCTACCTAGAAAAACTAGAACTGTACCAGAATTACCTTATTAACCCTAATAAAAGATTATATAACTCATTGTTAAGGGAAAAAGAATGAGAGACTAATTTGATCTGGGCATGGTAGCAGCACATAGGTTAATCCTATGCACAGGCATAGGATTAAGGATCATGAGCTTGATGCTAGCAAGATACTATTTCAAAAACAAAATATAAAAATAAAGGAACTGGGGGCAGTGTTCAAGTGTTAACTTATTTGCCTAGTATTAGCAAGGCCATGGTTTATTCCCCAGTAATTCAAGAGTAAGAAAGAAAAGAGAGGTAAGAATGTCTGATCATTCCGGTTTCTTGCCTAAAGGAAAATTCTTCTTTAACTTAAAAGATCTCTTATATTCTTCATTTAGATTTAGTTTCCAAGTTATTTTCTTCTGCTATCATCCTTACTTCCTTACCCATGGATGTGTGTTTTCTCAGATACATTAGGCTGTTGGGTTCTTTCACAATGTTCAGGTAAATAGACATAGTTTTTGTCTTCATGAGCAAGTTTCAGAGAAGTTGCAGATATATTGAATGTAGAAGGAATAACAGATGTGAAGGAAAGCTGAGGATGCTTAGACTTGAGAAACTAGACAAGTGAAGTTATCCTTTACTGAGCTGGACACAACTGCATTAGAATCATATGTCTGGAAGAAGCCAGGACCTCAGACTTAGAGATCAAAGGTTAAGATGCCTCAGAGTGGAGGTTATATGAATGTGAAATTACAGGACGGGAGAGGTTGGGTCTAGATGTACACATGTAGGAGTTACCAGAATGTAAATGGCATTTAAAACCACAAGACTACATACGTGCATGTGCATATTTCCAAACAGAACGACGAAACCTCTTAGAATTCTTTTAAGAAGGGGGAAGAAAGATAATGGAAAGAGACAGAAGGAAGGGTAGGTTTGATCTGGGTAAATTGTATGTATGTATGCAAGTGTCAAAAAGAACTACCCCCACACTTGTATAACTAATATATGCTAATAAAAATATGAATCTAAAAAAAAACAGCTTAGCTAGGGCTGAGTTCTGGAGTAGTTTGGCATAAACGCATAAGAAAAGTGATTTGATATAAAGCATAAAAAGAAAAAAAGTTGGCTTAGAAGCTTTGAGTTTAGGAGAGACTAAGTCATTGTTGTTACCAAAAAAAAAAAAAAGAGAAAGGTTGGGCACTATTGCTTATGCTTATAATTTTTATTTAAGAGCAGATGTTAGGAGCCTGCCAGACCTGACAAAGGTTCATGAGACTCCATTTAAGCCAGTAAAAAGTGTGGCAGTGTAGCATGTGCTTGTTATCCAAGCTAGGTAGGAAGCCTAAGTCTGATCACAGTCTCAGCTAGCACTGGACATAAATACAAGACCCTAGTAGAAAAAGTGATGGAAGAAAAAAGAGAAGTATGGCTCATGTGATGAAGCACCTATCTGGCAAGAGCTAGTCCCTGAGTTCAAACCCCAGTACCTCTAAAAAACAAAACCTTCAAGATATTCCAGAAGAATTGAAAAGGGTTGAGGATGAAGCTCAGTGGCAGAGCATTTGCCTACTGTTCACAAGGCTCTGAGGTTTTTTTTTTTTTTTTCCCCTAGCACTTCAAAGAAAACAAAAAAAATGAATCAATTAGTTTAATCTTGACAAGTTTTGATATACTGACCATAGATTAGCCATTGGTGCTTAATAGGCAGTTGGGAAAAGTAACTACAGCTGCGATTTTGGGATTCCTTACCATGAGAAAAATAGTAGAAATAATGAAAGCAATTAAAAGTTACCAAGGATAAAGCCAGGCCAATGGCTCAAATCTGTAATCCTGGCTACATAGGAGGCTAAGACCTGGTGGATCAGGATTCAAAGCAAGCAGGAAAGTCCTTGAGATACCAAACCAGCAAAAAGCTGGGCTGCAGTTGTAGCTCAAGTGGTAGAGCACCGGCAGAGCAAGTGTCAGGTCCTGAGTTCAAGACCGGTACTGACAGAATAAATAGATACCAAGGATAAAAGTCACATATCCAGCCAGGTCTAAGGAGTATTTACATTTTAAGATAATGAATATAACTTGCAAAGGGGACTTAAAAGGGTAAGAAGAAAAACAAGTTCAGCTAGGAGCTAGTGGTCCATGCCTATAATCCTAGTTACTCAGGAGGCTGATGATGATCAGGGTTCAAACCCAGTCCCGGCAGGAAAGTCCATAAGCCTCTTATCTCCAGTTAACTACCAGAAAACCAGAAGGGACGCTGTGGCTCAAGTGGTAGAGCACTCACCTTGAGCTGAAAAGCCCAGGCCTAGAGTTGAAGCACCATGACTGACAAAAAAACAGAAAAACAAGTTCATACCATGTCATAGATGAAGTAGAGTCAATATAGTGACAAATGTAACATGAGATAAAGATGTAAAAGCTTAAAGTAGGCAGAAAAAAACTGAATGCCAAAAATGTGAAATGACTATCCAAGATAAAATAGTCATGAAAGACCAGAATTTATCCTGATTTTCTGTATTTGTTTCTGCCTATCTCATGTACAAACTAAAGCAATCTCCAAGTAATTTTGACGTTGCAAATACAAGTTATTTGTAGCAAATAAAATTTGTTTATAGTTTTTAATGTTAGTTGAATATTAAATGAACAATTATAAGACAACCACTCATTCTTTATTCTAGGTTTCAGGATGTGCATCTGTCACTTACCTTGTCGACCAGTAAAACCAAACATTATTGGAGAACAGGTAATAAGATACTAGACTTTTATTTTAGGTTCAGTTGTCTTTAAAGAGAGTGCAGTGTTTTCTTGCTTTAAATAGGCACTTGATCTTACCCAAAAGCCAAGAAGCTGTTCTTGCTTTAAAACTAAAATTTGTTTAGCAGTGCGTTTACCTTAAAATTCTTACCTGCTTTCAGATGATGATAGTTGAAAAAGTATGAAGTGTTTGGGAAGAAAGGACTGTTGTATTGAACTTCTCACTTTATAGCTTTTACTTTCAGTCAAGTTTCTCGTGTGTTCAAAATGAAAACCCATTGCAGGTGCAGGTGGCTCACACCTGTAGACTGAGATCTGAGGATCTAGTTTCAAAGCCAACCAGGACCTGAAAGTCTGTGAGACTTATCTCCAATTAACCACCTAAAAGCCAAAAGTAGAGCTCAAAATGGTAGAGTGCTAGCCTTGAGCAAAGAAAGCTCAGGGACACCCTCAGGCCCTGAGTTCAAACCCATGACCAACCAAAAAGGAAAGAAAATCCGTTAATTTTGAATTGGAGAATTTAGGTAAAGAATATTTTTGAAAATGAATTTTATCATGGAATAAGTACTTCAATATTTTGTAAGCTCATGTCTTATTAAATTTCATACCAATTCTTCCCATATATATCCTTTTAAGTTGAAAGAATCAAGAAATAGAAATGCTAATAACTTTTAAAAACTAATAACCTTTATTTTTAAGATAAATTTGACCTGCAAAGAACACAAACTATAAAATGTTTTAGTAATACTCTGAATGCATTTTGTGCTGATGGGTGCTTGTTTTGTATTTTTTAAGTATTAGGTTACTGTAAGAAACTATGTAAAGGATGGTGATGTACACATGTGTTCCCAGCACTATAGACACAGGAAAGAGTATTATGAGTTGTATAGCTTGAGCTATATAGACTCAGCCTGGGCTACATAGGGAGCACTGTCTCAAAAAAAGAAACAGATTTGCTAAAATGTGGCAAGTAAATAGGAAGTAGCCCTCAAAATGTGGCTTAGTGATAGAGTTCTTGCTTAGCATGCATGAAGCTCTGGGTTCAATTCCTCAGTACCACATAAACAGAAGTGGTGCTGTGGCTCAAGTAGTAGAGTGCTAACCTTGAGCAAAAAAAGCTCAGGGACAGTGCCCAGGCCCTGAGTTCAAGCCCCAGGACTGGTAAAAATACAAAAAACTAATGAAGAGCTATTGGAGTAGGGTTTTGTTGGTGGTAATATCGTTGATATTTTCAGCAAAAAAGAGAAATTCTGAAGAATTGCTTACTTGGAAAAATACTACTACTTATGTTCTCAACATTGACCCTCTAGTGAATTTGAACTGGCTCAAGTTTTCAGAAGTCTTAAGAAGTGGTTGCTAAATACATCTATCAGTAAAAATTAAATTATAAGCCAAGCGCTGGTGGCTCACACCTATAATCCTAGCTACTCAGGAGGCTGAGATCTGAGGATCACAGTTCAAAGCAAGCCCAGGCAGGAAAGTCCGTGAGACTCTTGCCTTTAATAAACCACTCAGAAAACCAGAAATGGCTCTGTGGCTCAAGTGGTAGAGTGCTCACCTTGAGCTGAAGAGCTGAGGGACAGCACCCAGGCCCAGAGTTCAAGCCCTATGACCGACAATAAATAAATAAATAATATAATATAAAATTAAAAGTGGACAAGACATAAATGAAAAAGCAAAGGTAATGAATGTTAAAAACTCAAAACAAGCTGGGAAGTTGGCTCAGTGGTAGAGTGCTTGCCTCTCATGCATGAGGCCCTGGGTTTGATTCCTCAGCACCACATAAGCAGAAAAAAGCCGGAAGTGGCCCTGTGGCTCAAGTGGTAGGGTGCAAGCCCTGAGCCTAAGAGCTGAGGGACAGCGCCCAGGCCCAGAGTTCAACCTCCACAACCAACAACAACAAAAAAACTCAACTATTCCTAGTTACTGTACATTTTACTATTATCTCTGCCCTTCCAGTTATCTACACCTATTTTATCAGCATAGTATCATTACTTTACAAAGGTAAAATAAAGCATATCTCCTCCCAAACTCAGTTACTTGTGGCCTATTGTAAGTATGATTTTTGAAACATATAAATTTATGTAATATAGTTATCCTTTCAATCATATGGCATACTTTAACATCTTCTATACCATCTTAAGACATCTTAAGACAAACTCAGTATATTTGCAACTTTAAACGTGGAGTTCACTATTTTACTAATCTATAAAAATTCTTGTTTGATAGATATCCAGTAAGATGGGTGCCCACTACCATTGTATCATTTGTTCAGCAACTATCACCAGAAGGACTGACATGCTAGGGCATGTTAGGCGCCATGTGAATAAAGGAGAGACTAAGTCCAGGTACATTGTTGGTAAGTTGAGCCATCTCGCTAACATATTAGCAAGTAGGTCCTTAAATTTTAATAATCTAGTTGTTCTTTGCAGACCCTTAGATAATGTATATTGATTTAACTAAATCATTTAGTTGACTACTAATGTTTGTTTTATTGTGTGATGTTTCCAATAACATTAGAGCTATTCTCAACAGATTCTGACAAATGGTATAAGCCAAGCTTGGTGGTATTTGCCTATAATCTCAGCACTTGGGAAGTTGAGGCAAGAGGAGAGGATTGTGATTTCAAGGCCATCTACACTATACAACAAGAGTTTGCCTTCACAAAAACACATGTGACACTCAACCACATATAACTTGACAGATTATTCCTACTAATGGCTTTTAAATCAGTAACTGTGTTATACTTATTGCACAATAACTAAAAGATGCAAAGAAATATATTTACTTTTTGGTCCTAGGGTCTGAACTATGGGTCTGGGCTCTGTCCCTCAGCTCTTCAGCTCAAGGCTAGCACTCTACCACTTGAGCCACAGCACCACTTCCGACTTTTTTCTGCTTATATGGTGCTGAGGAATATAACCCAAGTCCTCATGCATGCAAGGCAAGCGCTCTACCAGTGAGTTGCCTTCCCAGCACCCAAGATCTTTTATTTTGAGTGGTATCAAATCTCAAAAATTAAATAAGCCCTATGGCCTAAAGCACCACTTAATTTCTCATAGAACCTCATTCACCATTATTGATACTCGAGATGTGAAGCATGCTTCTTCAGTGAAATAGAAAAATACTTAACATTAGGAAAGGCTACTTTTGTTGGCAGTATAGAAAGATGGTTGCTGTTTTGTCAACTTCTGAATGTAATTTCATTAAAATGCCACAGATAAAATTAACCCAATTATTTTCCTCACAAATTACACATTATTTTTGAATATTTAAACATACATACGTATTTATATTACTTGAGTTTATAGCTTAAGTATTCTAGTGTATATCTTTTTTTTGGGGGGGGGGGTGCTAGGCCTGGACCTTGAACTCCTCAGGGTCTGGGTGCTCAAGGATAGCGCCTCTACCACCTGAGTCACAGTTTCATTTCTGGCTTTTTCTTTTTGGTAGTTAATTGTAGACAGACTTTCCTGCCTGGGCTAGCTTCAAACTACAATCCTCAGATCTCTGCCTCCTGAATAGTTAATATTATAGGCACGTGCCATGGGCACCAGGCCTCTAATACATATCTTGTTTTGGTTTGATATGGTTTGGTTTGGGGGTTTTTGTGTATGCCAATACTGACGCCTGAATTCAGAGCCTAGCTGCTGCCTCTGAGCTTTTTGTTCAGGGCTAGCCCTCTGCCACTTGAGCTATAGCTCCACTTTTGGATTTTTGGCAGTTAATTGGAGATAAGAATCCTGGGAATACAGGTTTTGAGGTTTGAGCCACTGGCTAATATGTACTTTTTTTTAAAACTACGTATAGCCATCTAAATATAATTTTTGTTTAAAATTATGAGAAATTATTCTGAAGGTCAGAATGTTAAAAAAAATAGTGATTTTTACTTAGTCACTGAAACTGATGGAATACAATCATGCAGATATTTATTTTCTAATGATTATATCACAGTAAAATGTATTTAGCAACCAACTATACAAACCCAATGTAGTACTTGATTAATCATGAAGATACTACAAGGTTTTATGTTATCTTAGCATGACTGTGCTTTGGTACAATAATACAGCTATTGTTACGCTAAGCAGTCCAGATTTTAAGAATACATTTTCTTCTATTCATCCAATATCTAGGTCCAGCTCTTTTCTAGAGACATTGATAAATAAATCTTGTTTTTAGTTTTTGTTTGGTTTCTTTTTATCTACCAACCTTTTGCTTTAATACAAAATAATCTAATAAGTTATTTTTGTATATATATATTGTTTTAAATGTTTGGAATATCTTATATTTCCCTGAATATATTTTTTTTCATAATAGTGTCTACTACTAAACCATCAAATGAAATTTTGAAGGAAGCAGATACAGATGTACAAGTTTGTCCTAACTATTCTATACCTCAGAAAACAGATTCCTATTTTAATCCGAAAATGAAACTAAATCGGTAAGATCAATTCAAAATAGAATTATGGGGAGTTTAAAATAGTGAAAAGAAACCTTTTAAGTTCCTATTTACTAAAATATTAAGAGTGAAAATGATACAAAATGACAATCACCTACTGTAACATTTTCTCAAAATTAATGGTTTCCTTTTAGGTACAAAGCCAGTTTCTTTGTTAGACAGCAAAATAGACTTACTTTATGTAATTAAACTTGAATAGGCTTGTACTTTTGTGGCTAAGTTTTATTAAAAAATAAATGAATGCTTGTTAATTAGAAAGCAGTCATAGCTTAATTTCACCAATTTTTAGGTCTTGTATTATTAAATTAGGCATATATAATCAGACCACTTTTCAAAGGTCTATAAGTGAGGAAGCCATAGTAACCTAAAATTATTTCAGACTATTACTTCCTTTTAGGCAGCTAATTTTCTGTACATTGGCTGCTTTGGCTGAGGAACGAAAACCTTTGGAATGTCTAGATGCTTTTGGAGCCACTGGTAAGTAAAGAAGATTTTTTGAATCCCATTTTATTTGTCCAATATTTTAGCATATTTATATGGATATTGTATCTTTAAAAAATAACTTTTTTACCCCTCTATATAGTATTTTCACCATAAAAAACTTATTTTTTAAAAAATAACTTTTTTTTTTGGTCAGTCATAGAGCTTGAACTCTGGGCCTGGGCACTGTCCCTGAGCTCTTCAGCTCAAGGCAAGCGCTCTACCACTTGAGCCACAGTGCCACTTCTGGTTTTCTGGTGGTTTACTGGAGATAAGAGTCTTATGGACTTTCCTGCCCTGGCTGGCTTTGAATCGTGATCCTCAGATCTCAGCCTCCTGAGTAGCTAAGATCACAGGCATGAGCCACCGGCACCCAGCTAAAAAACTTTTTTTTGTACATGGCTTGAAATCTGGGCTAGATACTCTTTTTTGGCTTGTTTGTTCAACCAGCCCAGCTTGTATCTGGCTAATTGGAGTCAGAACCTCGAAGACTTTTCTGCCTAAGCTTGTTTTGAACCCAGGTCTCAGCCTCGTGAACAGGTCCATTGTACATGGGGAGCCACTGGCACCTGCTAATAAAAATAAGACAAAATCTTGCTTTTTCCTCCCAAGTGTTAGGATTACAAGCATGTGCTACCATGCCCACCTCTGGTAAGGACTTTTTAAGAAATAATACCATTAATATACCTAAAATCATACTTTAACTTTCCCATCATTTCTGGATTGACAAACTGGAACATCATAGCTTACTTCCCACTATGGAAATGGAGTCTCAGAGACTTTTTCTTCCTAGGCTGGCCTTCCAAGTATCTTAGAATGGCAGGCACTGCACCAGCTATTATGAGTTCAGAAGGGTGTCTCATGAGCCTTTTACCCAAGCCTGGTCTCAAATCATGATCCCACTCTCAGCTTCCCAATTAACTAACATTACAGGTGGAAGCCACCTGCACCCAGCTTCAGAATATATTATTTTAAATTGTTTGATGATGTCTAAGTCCCTTCCTAATCCATATTCCCTTCTGTCCTTAGAGAGAGTGTGTGTGTGTTAACCTTTGACCTGTAATGTCTAACCATCTAAATTTCTCTTGATTCTATTGCCGTGGCACATGTAACATGGTCTTCTGTTAATTGTATTTTTAATATTGGTAGTTTAATCAGATTCAATAAGGAATTATTTCAAGGATACTTAATGTAACTAAGAGCAACTGATAGGTCTTTTATGTTGTGCTGATCATTGCCTAGCCTTCAGTTTTGAAATTGAGACTATTTTTCCAAAGGACTTAAAAATAAAAGATAATAGAAATATAAAAGATGATAAAAAAAAAAAGCCACTTGTACTACCCATCCAAGTCTTAAGATTATATTGCACACTGGGAAATCTTGAACCAAAGGGTGAGAGCATTTGTAAACTGCCCTTCCTACGCTCTGTCCTGAGGAGAAAAACAGTGGTTAAAAGAGAGACTGGAGCCAAAAGTCCCAGTTCAATATGTCCTTCATATTATTTTTTTCTCAGTATTTTTTCTCACACTCTCTTTGCCCTTATTCTGGACTGGAGTTAGGATTCAGGTTTTGCACTTGCTAGGTACTCTATGGCATGGGCCGTTCCATCAGTCTTTTCTGTGTTACTTGTTTTTTGAGATAAAGTCTTGCTTTATGCCTGAGCTAGTCTTGTCTATGATCCTCCTATCTGTGCTTCCCCCATAGCTGGCATAACAGATGTGCAAAACTTTTTGCCCAGGCTGGCCTCAAACTATGATCCACCAGTCTTCACCTCCCAAGTAGTTTGGATTACAGGCTTGAGCTACCATATCCAACTTCTAACCTTTACTTTTTAATGGGCCTTTGGAAATTTCTATCAGGTTTGTAGTAGCTATTTTGTATGTTTTCCATCCCTGAAGTGAGGATGTTCGGTCTTACAAGTTTATTGGGAAGAGATGAAAAAAATATATTTAATGTCTATGACATACAATAGATACACATATTATTTCCATTCATGAGACATAATAGGGAGAAGATAGTGTTTCTAATACACAGGAGATCTTCTGATACGTATTGGCTGGGCTTATGTCAACATACCTAGTGAATGAATGTTCTTTATGACCAATCTAATGGCTGTGAAAAACATGTGCGAAAGTGCTTTTTGGGTTGAATTCTTCTCAATCATTTGCTTATATATGAAAAATGGTTTTTCATTCACAAGCAAGCTTTTGTGCACTATTTGAAATTTTTGGTCTGAGAAAGTTATTTGTGTATTTTGGTGCTTAGAGGTAAACTTCAGCAGTAGGACTGCAACTTCCCTTCCTCCTTTCTAGCAGAGTAACCCCACCTTTATTCATATTGTATATTAGGCATATCTTATTGCACTGTAAGTAACAGAACAACAACAATCTATTCCATGAACTGAAACATACATATTTGAACAAGAAGCATCTAAAAATTATAAGAAATATTAGTAAAAACTCTTATTTGGGACATATTCTTATAGTAATTTTTGAGAAACTTTATAGTGAGGAAAAATAGATTAATTAGAGCTACTTATGAAAATATTAAGACTTTAAAGGAATTTGTTATCTATATATTCTTTATGGTTCTTATTCGCCAATAATTACAGCTAAAAAACTTGTTTTCTTTCCTATATCTCCTAAGGGATAATGGGATTACAATGGGCAAAACATCTTGGCAATGCAGTCAAAGTTACAATTAATGACATGAATGAAAATTCTGTGACATTGATTCAGAAAAACTGCCATTTAAACAAGTTGAAAGTGGTAGTAGACAGTAAGGAGAAGGAAGGCGGAGATTGTCTTGGAGAAGAAGAACAAAATCTTGGTAATATTAAGGTGACCAAAATGGATGCGAATGTGCTGATGCATTTGAGATCTTTTGATTTCATGTAAGTGAAAAAGATCTGGTATGTCACTTGCTAAACTGTCCTGGAACTTTGAGTGGCGAAGTCAGTCAAGTGTAGTTAAAAATTAAGAAAATATGTTGTTTTTTATTTTAATAGAGTTTTTAACATTGGCCTAACATATGCAATAAGGCAGTTTTCTAGCATTTAAAATAAAATGTAAGGGCATGCACATTTTCTTAGTCTAATTTATCTTTACATGTTTGATGTCATAGGTCATCTTATATTAAAACAGAAGTCTGTGTCTAAAATCAATTTGCAAAGGGTTTTATTGGGGGGGAGTGTTGTTTTGTTTCTATTTTTTGGTTTCTTGAGACAAGGTTTTCATTATGAAGCCCAGGCTGGCATTGATCTAGAGTTCATTGCCTGTTATAGACTGGCCTCTAGCTCTCTCAGTTCTGCTTCTACCTCCCAAGTTGCTGGATTTCGAGTGTGTCCACCACATGCTAGGTTGGAAAATGCTTTAGAATTTAAGAAATTTTACCATTAGAAATTTGTATCATTATTTTGGTTACTAATAAGAGTTTAAATCTGTCCATTTTCTTTCTAATTTTAGACACTTAGACCCTTTTGGAACATCAGTGAACTATCTAGATTCTGCATTCAGAAATATAAGAAACCTTGGCATAGTATCAGTGACTTCTACAGATATCAGTTCCTTATATGCCAAGGCACAGCATGTTGCCCGGCGACACTATGGATGTAACATTGTCCGAACTGAATATTACAAGGAGCTAGCAGCCAGAATCGTGGTAGCTGCAGTGGCAAGGTACATTGTGCCTAGTATGATTTAGTAAGTGACTGAAAGTGATCCTACAAATGAGTATTTGTCTTATTTTTCAAAATATGCTTGGGATATAAATTCTATATTCCATTCTGGTAATTTGGTATGTTTAAATGTGTTTTTAATCTTATGTTCTGTTAGAACTTTAACAGTTTATATCTGGTGGGGCACCAATGGCCCATGTTTGTAATCTTAGCTACTCAGTAGGCTAAGATCTAGGGATCGAATTTTGAAGCTAGCTCACGCAAGAAAGTCCATGTCCAACTAACTACCAAAAAGCCAGAAGTGGAGCTGTGACTCAAGTGGTAGAAAGCACTAGCCTTGAGCAGAGTAGCTCAGGGACAGTGTCCAGGCCCTGAGTTAAAGCCTTAGTACCAGCACGCACAAAAAGTTTATATCTGAGGGCTGGGAAGGTGCCTCAGTGGTATAGCGCTTGCCTTGCATGCATGAAGCCCTGGGTTCGATTCCTCAGCACCACATAAGCAAAAAGAAAAAAGCTGGAAGTGGCGCTGTGGCTCAAGTGGTAGAGCACTAGCCTTGAGCTGAAGAGCTGAGGGACAGCACCCAGGCCCAGACTTCAGGCCCCATGACCAGACCCCTCCCCCCCCCCCAAAAAAAAAAAAGTTTGTATCTGAAATACTTAGTGTACTCTCCACCTTAACATGTTAACATGTTATTGAACAATTGAAGTTTTAAGACAGAAAAGCTGATTTCAGATCTATTTTAACAATATATGGGGCAAATAGTAACCTGAAAAGGAAAAAGAAATGTTGTGAGGTTAGAAATAATATGTTTTGTATCTAGTTTTTTAGATAGATTGAATAAAAATTATGACTTATACACTTTATTCTGCAAATTGATCTTAGAAAGTTCTCCTGTCAGAATTTCTAGGTAGTTGAAAAAAATGAAGACTATTTGAGCACCTGTTACATGCAGATTGTTATTAAGCTAGCAAGATAGCTTAACAATACAATGTGATGACCAGCCAGCTCATTCACTAGTTCAAACAAGTTCTATAGCATACAGATGGAAATTCCTACCTCCACTTAATTAGATTAGACTTCATCATCATCACCATTATTTATTATTATTATCATATGACTTCATGTACTTTCAGTATCATTCCTGTTACTGAAAACTGATGCACAGTTTATGCATGCCAAAGATATATGTGCATATTAAGAAATATAACATCTGTAGATTTAGAAGTGGTATATGTAGTAGGTCTTAATCCAAAAAGTTAGAAATTAATTGTAGAAATAACTTTGATTATTCATTTTGACTGAAAATTCAGCAGCTAGCATAACAACAACAGCATCTAGTCAGTACTCAATATATATTAGGAAGAAATTTTTGTAGGAAAAAACAGGAAGAAAGTTACTGATTACAGGACAAGAAGAGATGAAGCTGAAAACCTGCAAAGATAGCCCTGTTGCAAAGTTAGGATACAGGAAAGTGTCTAAAAACTGAAGACCTGACAAGGATCCTTTATTCCCTGTATTTGCATAAAAGTTACAGTAATGATCTTTTAAAAAGCTCTGCTACTAAAAATTTAATTTTCCATGATTACCCATCGTTTACCATCCAGAATTGTTGTCAGTATTACGCCAGAGGAAACTTAAGTTCTCAAAATAATTTCTTTTAATTTTATAGAGCTGCAGCACGATGCAACAAAGGCATAGAAGTACTGTTTGCAGTAGCTTTGGAACATTTTGTGTTGGTTGTTGTGAGAGTATTGAGGGGGCCTACTTCAGCAGATGAGACAGCCAAGAAAATTCAATACCTGATCCACTGTCAGTGGTGTGAGGAGAGGATTTTTCAGAAGGATGGTAATATGGTAGAAGGTAACCTGAAGTTCTTCTTGACTAATTTATGTATAAGCCTCTAATGAATAAGCCTTTGTTACACCCCTAATTATACATATTGTCCTTTGATTTTAAAGATGACAGTGCTAACTTTGTTATTTACTATACTGGACTTACTTTGATCAACAGACAGCACATTCCTGTGAGTTTAAGTTATTACTCTGTAGTTTTTGCTTTCTGGACCTACTCTTTTTTGAAACATTAGAGATAACTTAGTTTCTACTGTCAACTAATCTTAGGAACCTAAGTCAGATTACTTTAGGCTGTTACAAATCATTAACTTTATAGGAATAATTTTCATGTTTTTAACCGAATGTAAAAGCCACCAGTTATAAAATTAATTCAGTAAACACTTTGTGAATCTCTACTATATGCCAGGCTTGGGTATACAAAAAGAAATTGTGGTTCATGTCTTCTTAAAGCTGTTTCTAGGACATAGGAAAAATTGTGCTGTTTTCTATTAAGTTCTTGATATTTTTAGTATTACTTTTAATAGTTGAGAGGTTGGTAGCATGAAGGTTTGAACTCAGAGCCTTGTGCATGATAACAGGTACTCTACCATTTGAGTCCTGCCAACATCCCTTTTTTGCTTTAGTAATTTTTCATATAAGGTATCTCATTTATGACCAGGCCACAGCTCCTAATTTATGCTTCCCATGTAGCTGGGTTGGCTTGCATACACCACCACACTCAATTTTAATTCATTGAAGATTGAGGTCTCTGGAATTTGTTTGCCTTGGCTGGCTTCAAACCCCAATCCTTTTGATATACATCTCCTATGTTGCTGTTGTTTTCTTTCCTTTTTTTATTTAAAGCAGTTTTGGAGTTTGAACTCAGCTCCTGATGCTTGCTAGGCAGTGGAGCCATACATCTCCCCCCAACCACTACCAACATCTTTTTTATTTATCTTAAAGTGCTAGTCCCAGGGCTTAAACTCTTATTTGCTTATTTGCTCACAGCTTATTTGCTCACAGCTACACTACAACCAAACTTACAAGCCAGCATTTTGCTAGAAATTGGAGTCTTGAAGACTTTTCTGTTCTTTTCCTCTTCTCTGTCCTCCAACTCCAAGCTGACATCAAGCCTTGATCTTCCAGATTCAAGACTCCTGAGTGGCTAGAATTACATACAGGCATGAGCTTTTTTTTTTTTTTTTTAAATACAGAGGTTTTCTCTTTATGTTCACCTTTTCTCTAATGATTTGAGAACATTTTCTTCATCTTATACAGACTTCTACACAAATTTGAGTTTGTTTCTGGATTTTCTGTTCTAGTATCTATTAACACCTGTACCAGTGTTAATTAAAGAGGCTTTGTAGCATTACTTACTATCTGTTGAAGCATTTTTTGCTCAGTTTTTTTTTTCAGAGTGATATTAGAACTTGACTTTTGTTTTTGATTTTCTTTAAAAAGTAGGCAAGTGACTAGGAAGTGTGGCTCAGTTGATAGAGGCTCTGGGTTAAATCCTCAACGGTGCAAAAAATAAAAATTAAGGGAGCATAGGAATTGAGGGAGGAAGGGTGAGTAAATGAAGTCACTGTATTCATTGTGAAAAATGAACTATAACTTGTGAACAGGAACAGAAGGGGTAAAATGGGGAAAAGAAAAGGAAGGATAACATTGTCCAAGAAGCACTTTACTAGCTACCCAGGAGGCTGAGATGTGAGGATTGCGATTCAAGCAATTCCCAGCAGGAAAGTATATGAAACTCTTATCTCCAATTAACCACTAAAAAGCCAGAAGTAGAGCTGTGGCCCAAGTGGTAGAGCACTAGCAGCAAAAAAGCTAAGGGACAGTGCCAGGTCCTGAGTTCAAGCCCCAGGACTGTCTGTAAAAAATAATAAAATTTTAAATTAAAAAAGTAAGTAACCCAGCCTAATAAATAACCCAGGCCAATGCCTGTAATCCTAGCTTCTCAAGAGGCTGAGTTCTGAAGATTATGGTTCAAAGCCAGCCCAAGTTGGGACTCTTTATCTCTAATTAAAACACCAAAAAGTGGGCTAGGAAGTTGGCTCAGTGGTAGAGTGCTTGCCTTGCATGCATGAGGCCCTGGGTTCGATTCCTCAGCACCACATAAGCAGAAAAAGCCGGAAGTGGCACTGTGGCTGAAGTGGTAGAGTGCTTGCCTTGAGCTGAAGAGCTGAGAGACAGTGCCCAGGCCCAGAGTTCAGGCCCTACGACCGACAAAAACAAAAACCACCACCAAAAAGCCAGAAACGGAATTTGGCTCAAGTGACAGAGCACTAACCTTGAGGTAAAAATCTCAGGGACAATGCTCAGGCCTTCAGTCATATCTCCTGGACTGGCACAAAAAAAGAAAAATAACCTAATTGGCATTTTATTTTCATTGTACATCAAAGATAAAATACTGTAATTTCAAAGCTCCTCACAAAATACTTTTTTGTATTTGTTCAAGTTCTTTTAGTACTGTTGTAGAATGGGAGGGTATTCTGTTTTATTTCTAAGCAGCTGCTCCACCACTTAACCCAAGCTTTGTCACATTCCTTAAAGTACCATCTTACAACTGTGTCCTATGCTGTTTACTATCATTAACAGAGTAATATTAGGTAGAAAGAAGTTAGGGCCCTGCCTGGATCCTGAGCTCTGACAGACCTGATTAGACCATTCCAAGAAAGTCAGTGGTCAATTCAAAAATGGATTGGAGCTGGGGGATGTCTATGAAGAGAGTTTCTAATTTAAAATGATATTTTTAGAGCTGTTAGTGTAGTTCAGTGGCCTAACATATATGAATTTCTAGGTTTGACCCCAGCACCATTAGAAGATAAAAATTAAGAATAAAATAAAGGAAATCACTGGTGGCTCACACCTGTAATACTGGCTACTCAGGAAGCTGAGATCTGAGGATCATGGTTCGAAGCCAGCCTGGGCAGGAAAGGCCATGAGACTCTTGTCTTCAATAAACGACTCAAAAATCAGAAGTGGCACTGTAGCTCAAATTGGTAGAGTGCTAGCCTTGAGCCACTTCTGATTTTTGAGTGGGACAGTTTCCAGGCTAAGTTTAAGCCCCATGACTGACACCCTCTCCACCCCCACCCCAAAAAAAAAAGGAATAAAAGGACTAGTCTGAGCCTTCAGTGAATTACAAAGTCCTATAGTGTTATACCACCTCATACTGTTGTTTAAATGAAATAAGATTTTTCTAGTCTATACTTTGGAAGCTAAATATGAATCAAGATTAGGGAATAAAGTAACTTTTTACCTGATTACACAGAAGAGAAACATATTTTGATAGTAACATTGGTTTAAGGTTATAAAACACTTGTTAGACCTCATTTTTACATTTGTATAGATAACATATACTATATTTGTTTATTTTGGTGCCATTATTGGGGCTTAAACTCAGCCTTGTATTCTGCTCAGCTGTTTCATTTATGGCTGGAGCCATGTCTCCAGTTCCAGGTTTTTGCCAGTTACTAAAGGATAAGTGTTTCACAGATTTATCTGCCTAAGCTGGCTTGCTTTGAACCTGGATCTTTAGATCTCCACCTCCAGAATGGCTGGGATCATAAACATAAGCCACCACTGCCTGGTCAGTGTATGCATTGTATCAATATACAATATAAGTTACACCCCAGTTTGTTAATTTTAAAATATGGAAATCTTGTAATCATTAACAAAAGACTAATATTAAGACTAATATTTTATGCCTTCAGTAAGCCATTTGACTTGGCTAAGCTATGATTCTCTGTGATTGAAATTTTAATAGCCCTACCTTCAAAGCACAGTGATAAAGATTCAAAATACAGTTAGAATTTTTAGCACAGTACCTGGCACATAGTAGATCCTCAGTGTATACTAGCTACCAGTTACTACTATTTGCAGTAGTTATTTCTCCTTTAATTTATTTATTTATTCACAGAAAACCCATATAGACAGTTGCCCTGTAACTGTCATGGAACCATGCCTGGAAAGACAGCAATAGAACTTGGACCTCTGTGGTATGTACCTAAATGTAATAAGATTCAAAACCGACTCATTAATTGGTTTATTGTCAACTTATGATTATATGTGGTAACAGGTAAGTTTGTTTTTAGGTCTGAGTAAGCAGTTAGGACTCCTCTCAAAATTTCAGTGGAGCTATGATTCAAGTGGTAGAATGCTAGCCTTGAGCAAAAGTATCTTAGGGACAATGCTCAGGCCCTGTGTTCAAGCCCTAGGATTGGCATTCCATTACCTATATCATCTGCCACCAGTTACCCTACTCTCAGATCTCAAAGCTAGAGATATTAAGAACAGTAGGCCCATTTGTTAGGAAATGGAAAGATTCAGAAAAAATTATTTTAAGTGAAGTAAGCCAGACCCAAAGAAACAGGTCATATGGTTTCCCTTATTTGCAATAACTAGTATATGTCTGGGACAAGCAGAAAAGGTCAAAAGCTATGTACATATGACCATATAAGATGATGTTAAGTGAAATGAACCCCAAGATAGGGACACAAGTGGTTTGTTCTTTCTTGCTGTTGTTCCTAATGTATTTATAATGTACCATGTGATTTTTTGTTTCTTTGTATGTTCCTCCCCCATGGTATAACCCCTGTTTTCACTGTATTTGATGTCGGTGCCCTGCATCTTGTATATACACTTCTCTAACTTGGTGGGGGGAAGGGAATAAACAAAATGCTTAAATAGGGATACAGGTTGAGCCATTGTAACAATTAGATGTATAGGACACTATGTTGAAAAATGAACTTTACAATTTAGGCAGGAAGGTGGGGAGGGGGAATGAAGGGGGGAGTGTAAGTGTAGAGGTGGGAGGGAAGGGATGGTAGGGGAAAAACAAAGGAGGAGTCAACAATGCTTGATAGGAAATGTACTCATTACCTTGCTCATATAACTGTAACCCCTCTGTTACAGTATTTTTACAATAAAAAACATATTTAAAAAGAAAAAAGAATAATAGGTTGCTGGATCCAGAAGGAAGATCTTCTAGCCTAGCTCCCTTTTTTTTTTTTTCTGATCATGCGGCTTAAACTCTGTGCCTGGGCATTGCCCCTCAGCTTTTCCTAATTTTACAGACAGAAATTGTGGCATAATTTTCTTTTTTTGGTCCGGTCGTGGACCTGAACTCTGGTCCTGGGTGCTGTCCCTCAGCTCTTCAGCTCAAGGCTAACGCTCTACCACTTGAGCCACAGCTGTGGCATAATTTTCTTAAATGCTTACTAAAACTCCCTTTTCCCATCCCCCCCCCCCCCCCCCCCCGCACCTCCTTCCCCTCCCTTTCCCCCCTTCCCCGTAATGATTTGTTAGCACAATTAGGGTAGAATTTGGGTTTTCTCAGTCCTAGGACTGTGATTTACTCATCCATAGGGATTGTTCTGCCTTTACTCTCATCCATGATATCATCCCTTTACCCCATCACATATTCAGGTTATAGTTCCCTTTGGAAATCTTTTTAGAGCTCAACTCCAAGTAAGCTCTAAATTCTTTTTTTAGTGTATCTTATATTCATCATTCGACACTTTGAAATTCCAAATAGTTACTAACCTTAATCTTAGTTACTATTCATTGAGGATGTATTTCGTGCTAGGTTTCATACATGTACCATCTTATTTAAATCCCGTATGTTTGTGAGAAGCTTTAATTTCAAGGTAAGGAATGTAAGACTCAATCACTAGTAACTTCTCAATGTTACACAGCTAGTAAGTAGTGAAAGCAGGATTAGAATCCAGGTTTGTTTGATTTGGGATTTCATATTTTGTCAGTTATAGTTGAGATTCTCAAATAGGAAGCATAGTTAACTTTGAATTTTATATTTGTGTATATCCTCCATATGCCTACCAATATAGCATAATACTGTGTGACTTGCTAAGGCTCAATAATTCTTACCGATTTAATGTAAATGAATTTCCTTAGCTAGTTTTATTACAATCTTAGAAAACTGGAATGATAAAAGAAGTAGGGAAGAACAGCAAAAATAATACAAATCATAACTTCATTTTCAGTGTTTTAGTTGTAACAAAATTATGAAGACTTATTTTTTGAAGAACAAACATTTTCCAAAGACAGTTCTATGTACTGTTTTCCAGGTCAAGTTCCCTTTTCAACACGGGATTCCTCAAAAGAATGCTATTTGAATCTCTTCATCATGGTGTGGATGATATTCAGACCCTCATAAAAACATTAATCTTTGAATCAGAGTGTACTCTTCAAAGTCAGTTTTCAACTCAGACACCTTCAAATGTCAAGAAGCAAGGTTACTATATACTCGCTCATTAGTTTACAGATTCGTTCTGAAAAATATTCTTTTTAATCTTTGGTATTGTAATCAAAAGCAATACAGTGTGTGCCTTTAACTACCCTGTCTCATTATTTTCTACAACTTTTTTTTTGTAAACTTTAGTAGACTGAAGGAACGAAGAGTTTTTTTGTGACTTTATTACTATGTCTATTTTCTAGAAAAAAGAAACTTTAGGTAATTATACAAGTGGTACAGCCAAAATTTTGGGGTAATGCCCATTGAAATTCAGAAGATAGTTTTATATATTTATCACTCAGATAAACTTTTTTTATAGGATTTCGTAGGCTTATATGGCTATTGATATAAGAATAAGCCTATTGAACGTCCTAATGCTATTGTACATAAGGAGAAGTTGTTGCTATTATAGGTTAAAATACAATTTGTACAGCCTGTTTTAGATACAAAAGCTCATATATACATATATACACACACACACACACACACACACACACACAAAAAAGATAGTGTGGATGGAATTTTTATTGCAATTCTAACTTGCCATATCATCTTTAAATATTGCTTTCCCATTCTTCTTTCAGAAGAAAATGATGTATTTATCAAAACCACAGATACCACAACGGAACATCTACAAGGTATGTGGGTGTGTAAATATGTATTACTAAGCCAGGCGCTGGTGGCTCATGCCTGTAATCCTAGCTACTCAGGAGGCTGAGATCTAAGGATCATGGTTCAAAGCCAGCCCAGGCAGGAAAGTCCATGAAACTCTTATCTCCAATAAACCACCAGAAAACTGGAAGTGGCGCTGTAGCTCAAGTGGTAGAGCGCTCGCCTTGAGCTGAAGAGCTGAGGGACAGCGCCCAAGCCCAGAGTTCAAGCCCCACAACCGACAAAAAAAAATATGTCTATTACTAAGTATTAGAGCAAAAAGGTGGAAATAGCGCTGTGGCTCAAGTAGTAGAGGGCTAGCCTTGAGCTGAAGAGCAAGCTGAGGGACAGTGCCCCATGACCAAACAAAAAAAAATAATAATAATAACAAAAAGGCTTACATATAGCAAAAAGTAGAAAAAAAGAGATGGCCTCAGTAGTCTCTTCTCAAATGCTGACAACAGAACAATAATAAAATTTTGTATCATCATTCACATTGTTCACATTTCTAATTGAGTAATCCAGAATACTTCAGAACAAGGTAAACTAAAATAGAGTATTATATAACAAAAGTTGTAGCATTAAGAATAAATATTGATCAGGCCTTGGTGGTTCACACCTGTAATCCTAGCTGCTTGTGAGGCTAAGATCTGAGGATCATTGTTCAAAGCCAGCTCTTATCTCTAGTCAACCACCAAAAAGCTGGAAGTGGAGTTGTGACTCAAATGGTAGAGTGCTAGCCTTGAGCAAAAAAGCTCAGGGACAGTGCACAGGACCAGCATAGGGAAAAAAAAAAAGGTGTTTTAATTTCTTTCAAAGTTTAACTTTTCTATTGGAAGATTGATTGACAGAGGCATTGTGAGTTAATCTGTATAGAAAGTAGACTTAAATGCAGTAGAACTCTAGAAAGGTCCCTCCATTTCTTGGCCTAAATTTTTTTTAGAATAAGCAAACCATAAATATGCTTTAAAAAAATTTACAATCTCTTGAATTTTTGGTACATTTAAGGAAATAGACTGATTTCTAAAATTTGTAGGTTTAATCTAAGACTGGTTTGTCAATACAACCTATAGAGGGAAAAAAATCAATGTCCTGCTTATGATTGTTGCTATTAGGGTATTATGTTGGGTTTTTGTCTCACTTTCCTAGAAATTTGTTCTAAATCTGTGTATTTATCCTTTCACTGTGTGCTTGTTAATTTCATGTGGAGATAAAGTCACATTTTATTTACCTAGTTTAATAGAAGATTTCCAAATTGTCTTTTATCATAAAAAGTAATAATTTATATTTATCTTTTCACATCATTTACCATAATTATGCATCAGATTTGCCTTCTGAATACTTCTAAGAAAATGTAGATATGACCTTTCCTGTATATAATCAGTTGGTAGCCAGCCATTGTGGCACATGCTTGCATTCCTAGCAGCTCAAGAAGCTGAGGCAGGAGGATCACTGGAGTCCACAGGCTCAAGACCTGTAATATTAATAATAATGACATTGAACATTCAAGCAAAATCTCATCATAGTATTGGATATTTCATTAGTGTCTCTATGTGTGTGACTCTGGGAAGGGCACATTGCCAGAATCTAACTTAAGTCACCATTGAGCTCATATATTGTACCTTTATCAGTATTTTTGTAAGCCCTTGAGACTTCTTTTGTGTTTTTATGTTCATCAAATTCTTGTGTATTCAGTGCTAAGCAGTTGTAGTACAAGTAAAAAAATGAAGGGCATGACAGAAGTGTTCAGCTCTGAATAGTGTTATTGACAGCAATGAATTAAAATTACACAAGTGGGGCTGGGAAGGTGGCTCAGTGGTAGAGTACTTGCCTTGCATGCATGAGGTCCTGGGTTCGATTCATCAGCATCACATAAGCAAAAAGAAAAAAGCCGGAAGTGGCGCTGTGGCTCAAGTGGTAGAATGCTAGCCTTGAGCTGAAGAGCTAAGGGACGGCGCCCAGGCCCAGAGTTCAGGCCCCACAACCGGACCCCCCCAAAATAAATAAATAAATATTGCACAAGTGAATAGAAGGACCTCATTCAAAGAATTAAGATTGAATAAGTAGATTTAAATGACTGTCAACAAGTTTGCAGGTGGTTAATAGTTACAAAAGTTTGGGGGTGGTTTTGTGTGTGTGTGGTTCTGAGGGTTGAAACTCAGGGAGTTCACACTTGCTAGGTCGGTGCTTTACCATTTGAGCCATGCCTCCAGTTGGCTTATAATTTTTAAGAGAATGTTAACTGTGTATGTATGTATGTTTCAGGAAAGAGAAAAAGCCATGAAGTAATAACAAATTTAGCCAAGAAGCAAAAGTCTGATGTCAGTACTGAACATCCTCCTTTTTATTATAATATCCACAGACACAGCATTAAAGGGATGAACATGCCAAAGTAAGACACCAATGAATAGCAAAGTATATGTCATGTTTTAATAAAGTTGTGACTTAAATATTCAAGAACCTAATTTTTCATCCTTTACGTTTTGCAGGTTGAAGAAGTTTTTGTGCTATCTTTCTCAAGCAGGCTTTCGTGTAAGCCGAACTCACTTTGACCCAATGGGCGTTCGTACAGATGCACCTCTGTTGCAGTTTAAATCTATTCTTCTACAGTACAGCACCCCCACTTACACTGGAGGACAATCAGAAGGCTATGTCCAATCATCACCCGAAAATTCGGTGGCTGACAGGGTTGAGTAACAGGTTGAATAATATGTGGCTGCAGAAGACAGTAATCATAGAGAAGCAATTATTCTCAGGTGTCTGTACAGATGGCCCAATAGTTCTATGCCAACTTGTATTTCCTTTTCTATTCAATTCAGTTGTGTAAAAATAAAGGGGAAAAAAAGGTACTGATGTTTTCATTCAGAAAACTAGCTGTATGCTAACTGGTTTGAGAGCTTTGTTTTGTAAGTTTTTCTTATTTAAAACAAGTTTTAATGAGAATTATTTCATAATGTGAACTTTCTGATTGGGATCACCCTATGTTTAATAAATTTAGAACAATTTCACATAGTATTTAGAAACGTAAGTACATTGTGGAAGTGCTTCTTTTTTTATTCTAGGCCATAGGCATACTAGGCAGCAATCTACCACTTAAGGTACTCCTTCAAGCTAGTCCTCTTTCCTCACTCTCAATAGCTGGGCGATGGGCATGCACCATTGTGCCCTGCTGTACTATTCTTAATCACATAGCTTCTTAAACTTTTTCATGATATTTTTCTATGTGAAGTATACAAAATGAAGTTAAACCCTTTTACATATTGAAATTACCCTGGATAGAATAAAGGGAATGCTGTTCTTCGAAATCACAACACTAAAATATATTCATATTTTTAAGATAATATACTGCTCACTTTTTAAATTTATTAATACCTTTTGAAAAGTTAAATACTTGTCAGAGACAAATTCATTTTTTTTTTACAAGTTTACAGTCTAGATGAGGAAACTTTAAAGGTATTGCTCTTATATAACACTTCACAAGTACTGAAATCCCAACAGTAGAAATTTTGTTTTGTTATACTATAATGTGTAGCTGTGCCACCACTCAGAAGTAAAATTTGTCACTTTATGAAGAGAAGTTTCTTTAGTTTGGGCTTTTTGTTGGTTGTATTTTCTTTTTAGGTTTGTGTGTACTTTTTTGTATAATTAGCTCAAGCTAACATCACTATAAAAATAAGTTGAAAAAGTTATTTGTACTAATATTCTTGCTTTATTTGAGTAAACAAGAGTTTGCATGAAAGATTTGGTATCAAGTTTAGGGTTTTGTATCACAGATTTAGTCCATAACCAGTTTTTTAAGTTAATTAACTTATTTAAGTTATTTATTTTGGAGTTTGCAGTCAGGCCTCAAAATTGCCAGGCAGGCACTTTACCTAAACTTGAGCCATACCCCAAGCTCAGAAGTAACTTTACAACCATTAAGATCAAGAAGGAGTGGTATGGTTATAACTGAAAACTCTCAAGCAGTATATAAGAAAACTCATCACATAAAAAGTCTGGATGGAGCCAGGCGCCGGTGGCTCAAGTCTGTAATCCTAGCTACTCAGGAGGCTGAGATCTGAGGATTGCGGTTCAAAGCCAGCCCAAGCAAGAAAGTCCGTGAGATTCTTATCTCCAGTAAACCACTAGAAAACCGGAAGTGGCGCTGTGGCTCAAGCGGTAGAGCACTCACTGGCCTTGAGCTGAAGAGCGCAGGGACAGCGCCCAAGCCCAGAGTTCAAGCGCCACGATGGACCAAAAAAAATGTCTGGGTGTTGGAAACGTTAGAAAAACAATATTTAGCAGAAATAAGTGTGTTGGTATAGCATATTCCCAAAAGAATCTGTCCGATTTAATAGTATATTGCAATAAAATAATGTGTAGCTATAACAGCTCAATTTTATCTGGGTGCTATAGGCTCACATCTGTAATTATGGATTACAGGCCTGGAGGATTACAGAGCCAATCCAGGCAGAAAAATCCTCCAGATTCCATCTCCAATTTATCAGCAAAACTTGGCTGGAGTCTCAGCTCAAGTGGTAGAATAGCTATGCACAATCAATTTGAGTAAGGGTGGATGGAGGTCTTAGTTCAAATCCTGGTGCTGCTGGAAAAAACAAAAATCCCAATTCTTGCTAGTTGGAATTAAAACTTAAAAATGAGAATAAAAAGAAATAGCTGTTCCTTCTTTGAGTAATTAGAAACAAATTACTGTAACTCAAGCCACCCCAGGCAAGAAATCCAGGTGACTTATCTCCATTTAACTACCAGAAAACCAGAAGTGGCTTTGAGCTACCACACCACTAAGTGGCAGAGCTCTACCCTTGAGCAAAAAGGCTTAGGGAAAGCACCCAGGCCCTGACTTCAAGCCCATGACCAGAAAAAAAAAGCGGGGGGAGGGGGAAGGAGCTAGCACTTGGACTATCTGATTTAGTTCATATTGACAAATTGAATATGTTTCAAAAAATATGCTAAATGCTCATGGGCATTTACCAAATTAAGCTCATGCTTAATTTGGTAGAAAAAGAGAACTTAGAGAGCTTGCTAAAAACAGCTGAGTTCAATCTCAGTGCCACAGAAAATAAAATGTCTTAGTTTCATACATAAAGTTATATTTTAAAATATTTGGTAGAACTGATAAAGTACATGAAACTATAGAGAAAATACTTTTAAAATGCTATCTAGAATTAACATCTTGTTCCCATAACAACTAGTTATTTGAGAACATTAACTACATTGTAGAGTGGTGCCGGGTGTGTCCTTCCATTACATTTTTAAAAAGCAGATTGGAAGCTAGAGCTTGGTAGAATACTTGCCTAGAATAAAGCCACCTGGCCCATGGGTTGAACTCCGACAATGCAAAGAATAAAATGAACTGTCAGTACTCTAGACATATGCAGAAAGGGGGTAATATACAAAAGAATGGCTTGGGCAGGGGGAGTCACATGGCAGTAAAAATTCTGACTACCCTATTTACCATACCCTACTCTAAATTGAATGATGTTCTGGTTGGCTGAGACTGGAATTCAAGAGTAATCCCCCAAAGTTCTGGAATTTGTCTGCACTGCATAATTACAATGTTAAGTAGCTCTAGGCTGGTTACCTTGGAGGCAACTGAGTAAAACATACATGTGACTTCACTGGCCCTTTCTCAGTGGACTCGGCAAAGTGAATTACAAACAGCATGGGACCTGCACGAGGGGCATGACGACTACTGTGGCTCATTCAGGCACATCAAGTAGAATTAGGAATCTGTATTTTGGTTCTATATAGGTAGTCATATAGATGGATAGCAACTAACCAAGGCCAACTCGGTTAGACTCGATTATCTTGTAGTTTCTACTACCTATTATACTAACCAGGCCCACCTTTCAGTCTAGCAATTAAGTAATTTACTTAAAATACTGTTATGTACTGCATAATATTTAGCTAAGCATAGCCTGCATATAGTGAGTGGTTCCACAAGACAATGGGACTGAAAAATTCCTACTGCCTGTAATACCAGAGCTGGTGAAATGCCATAGTACAATGCACATGTCTGGTGACGCTGCTGTAAACAAACCTCATCTACTGTGCTGTCATTTATATAAACAAGTATGGCACATACAGTTGTATACTTTGCATAATACTTAATAAACAACTGTTGCTGGATTTTGAATTTACTATTTTTTGCGGGGTGGGGAGGCTGCCTTCAAACTCGAGCCTTCTGCCGAAATGCTGGAATTAAAGGCATGCCCCCACCAAACCTGGCCCCTACACTACAGTCATTTTTAGAAGATACTATCTTGTTTTTATTGTAAACCAGGATTTCATGTGACATTGGCAGCAGCCTCCTACTGATTTACATCTCATAACTGACCTATACCATCTAAGTTTGTGTGAATGGACACTATAGCTCAACACAATAAAACTGCCTAACACAATTCTCAGAATGTATCCTTGTGCTGACAGCAATGTGTGACTCCACTCAAAATAATCACCATTAGCAAGGCTCATTCAACCAGCAGATCCACTTCAACTAACACATCTCCCACTGTCATTCCTCATCCACTGCCATTCTGCCAGACTTGTCTGAGTGCTAGTGCTCTGCGGCCAGTAGCTCAGACCTGTAATCCTAGCTACACAGAAGGCTGAGCCCTGAGGATCAGTTTAAATTCAGCCCAGCAGAAAAGTCCATGAGACTTACCTCCAATTAATCAGCAAAAAGGTAGCAGTGGAGCTATGGCACAAATGGTAATGCACCAGCCTTGGCCAGAAAAGGCTAAACAAGAGCACAAAGCCTTGAGTTGAAGCCCCAGTAAAGAGGGGAAAAAAAGGTCCAGATTCTTACACAGAATATTGCTATAGAGAGTCACAAATGTCAAATCCTTCAGTCTCTCATTTCCATTCTCTACATCAAGGAATTTCTAGCCTATCTCCTTCAATTTGGATGAGCCATTGTGCATCAAAAAGTCTTTCAAACAAACAACCAGGATGGCCCCAGGTTTCAAACTAAGTAAACCTAAATCTGTCTAGGTATAGTGTTAGTCTGTTTCCTACAACTCACTGTTCCAGACTGGATAATTCATAAAGTACACAGGTTTAATCAAGCCCATGTTTCTGAGGCCACAAAGTCCAAGGGCATGGCGCCAGGATCTACTCCACATCTGATCAAAGCTACATCATTATATGGTGGAAAGCATCATGTGCAAAATAAAACAGGCATTTTTAAAAATAACAAAGTCACTCCCTAATAACAGTTAACCCATGAACAGAACAATCTGTAAGAACAGAGCTCTCATGACCCAGTCAGCTCTCAAATTTCTCACTTCCAAATCCCATCAACATATGACTGGGGATTAAGATTTTAGCACAAAATTTCTGACAGATAAACACTCAAACCACAGAAATACCCATATTAAGAACGAGACCAGGGGCTGGGAAGGTGGCTCAGTGGTAGAGTGCTTGCCTTGCATGCCTGAGGCCCCGGATTCGATTCCTCAGCACCACATAAGCAAAAAGAAAAAAGCTGGAAGTGGCGCTGTGGCTCAAGTGGTAGAGCGCTAGCCTTGAGCTGAAGAGCTGAGGGACAGTGCCCAAGCCCAGAGTTCAGGCCACACGACTGGACAGCCCCCCCACCCCCCCCAAAAAAAGAATGAGACCAAATTTAAGCTTATGTTCTTCAAGGTCTTAGAAACTATATATGATCAAACAGACTCTGTCAGACCACATCTTATATACCCTCAGGACTTTCTGTGATCTGACTCAAACTGCCCTAAAAACAAAAGGATAGATTTTTGTAATAAGGCCTTTCAAAAGGTAACTAGCTTCTTTAAATATTATTAAGCGGTCATCAATTAATCACCATAAGCCCAAAGTG